CCTGGGGCCCCAGGCTCCCTTGGTGTGTGGTGGGGGGGGGTGACAGGCTGCCTCTTCTCTGCCCCTTCCCTCCTTGTATCCCTGCGGGCTGGGGCGGGGGGGAAGTATAGCCAGGGCTGCTCCATTCTGCTCCTGGGGGGCCCCTCTGTCCCTGGACACCCAGGGGCTGATTCGGACTCAGGCTGGGGTTCAGACGGGTCAGTGTGATGGGCCCCCGCACCCTGTGCCCAATCCACAGAGCCCAACGCTCCTGGCTCCTGCTGCAGCCGCTCCTGCTGCCCACTCTGGAGGCCCCAGTTCGATCCCCAGGAGGGCGGCGCTCACCCGTGCTGCTGCCCCCCCCCCCATTCCCCAGCCGGGCTGAGCCCCCCCAACAGGCCCTGCAGTCAGTGGAGTTGGCTGCTCCGGCCCTTAATGCCCTGCTCTGTCCCAGCCCCCCCAGGACAATGTGGGAGCCCCGTTACCGTCACAGATCTCCGTTGTGTCGGTGAAGAAGCGATTCCCATGTGACTGGTATCCATCCAGGCAGGTGCAGTGGGTGTTGTTCACACACTTGGCGTTTGCTGGGCATAGCATATGGTTGTTGCAGTCCTCAGTGGTACCTGCAGGGGTGGGAACAGCTGGGCAGAGTCAGCCAGTGCAGAGCGGCTCCCCCCACCCAACACACACAGTGCGATCGACTCCTTTCACACGCCCCATTCGCTGATTTTCGGCCCTCGGCGCCTGGCAAACAGCTCCGACGCCATCCACCGCCTGGCAACAAGCTGCCCTCGGCTGCATAGGGGCCTTGGCTCCCCAGGGTGCCCCCGGCACAGACAGGCAGAGCCGCCGGAGCCGGGCGTCTCTTCAAGTGAAACATTTTCAATCTCACCCAATTTTTCTCCTTTTTGTTGCTGTCGTCGTTACTCTCATTAGCGTCAATTTCAACTCGAAACCTCGCTTCCAACCAGAAATCGGGAATTGTTCATTTTGAAAATTATTTCATCTCCCCCTGCCCCGGGCAATTTTTTCCTGAGTAAAACCAAACATTCCTCTGAACAGAATCGGCATTTTCTGGCAAAAAATGGGTCCTTGGGAAATTCCTGCCCAGCTCTGCTCTGGATTGACTGAGAGCGGAGTCGGGCGCGAGGCTAGTTTGGATCCTGAGCTGCCTCCCATGACCCAGATTGTGACCTGCCTACGGGGGCTCCTGGATCCTTTAGCTGCCCGGTGTCTGGGGCTCCGCTGGGATCCATCCCTCTGGCCAGCGTGAGGGGAAGGATCCCAGCGCAGCTTAGCCGGCTGCAGGGTTGGGATGGGAGCAGACGGAGGAGGGTGGTGCAGCACTGGGGGATTCGCAGCAGAGCTGGGCTCGGGGCGCAGAATCCCGATCCCAAACACCCCCCAGCTGAGCACATGGGTCCCAGGTTTCAGTTCAGCCTGATTTTAGAGGGGGGGCACCAACAAATGCCACTTCTAACGTCTGAGCCATCAGAGGCTTTGATTCGGGCTGGTCAATAACACGGCCCTTGGCTACAAAGGGGATCTGACCCTCACTCCAGCCCCCAGTGTAGAGCCCTGTGCCCCAGTGTCTATTCTCTGCTGGCCAAGGGGCTGGGAAGAGAAGGGGAGGGCTATGCAGGGGCCTTCTCCTCTCCCCTGCACGCACCCACTGTGCTCTGTAAACCCACCCCAAGATGTCCATGCCAAGGAGCTGCTCCTGGGTCACCGGACCCCTGACTCTGCTCTCCTCCCACAAGGGAAAGGGACCGGAGGGGGTGGAGGCCAGAGACCCCGGGCAGCAAAGAGCACTGGGGAAGGATAGCCAGGAGGAGTCAGCCTTACCTTGTGTGCCGTTATTCTGGGCCATGGTGCCACACAGGCACAGGGCGATGCAGAGCCCTGGAAGGCAGAGACAGGGTAAGGCACCATGGGCAGATGGTAACCACCACTCAGCTGCACACACCCCCAGCCGCCCCCGTCCTGCCAATCCTGGGTCAATGGGCCAGTCAGGGCCCTGAAGATGGTGGAATTAAAAATGCAGAAACCTGGTGCTCTGGGAAATCAGCCCCAGCTGGTAATATTGTTACCTGATTCCAGTTGAGATCTGGACTTTTGACCAGGGCAACTGTGTCTTTTATTGTGCGTATTAGGAACAAAGACCAGGAACCCACCATTGTCAGGGCTGGATTTATACTTAGGGCACCCCTAGGCACAGGGGCTCAGTGGTCGTCCCCTCCCGGTTTGGAGCTCCAGGGGCTCCCGCCGTCTTGAGGCGACTGGGAGCTGCAGGGTACCCCTGCTGCCAGGAAGCTCTTAACCGCCATCGGTGGGTTCCAGCAGCTCAGCATTTCTCCAAGTGGGAGATCGCCTGGTGCATGGAGCAGGCATGGCTACCTGGAAAGATGTGCTGAGACTACTGCATGCATCACCAAGGAAACAGGAAGGGATGTCAGGGTTCCTTCCCCACTCTGAACTCTAGGGTACAGATGTGGGGACCTGCATGAAAGCTCTCTAAGCTTATTTCTACCAGCTTAGGTTAAAACCTGGTACGCTGCCACCACCAAGTGATTTAACAAGACCACATGGAGTTCCTCTTCCCCCAAAATATCCCCCCAAGCCCTTACACCCCCTTTCCTGGGGAGGCTTGAGAATAATATATTAACCAATTTGTTACAAAGTGATCAAAGACCCAACCCCCTGGGTCTTTGGACAATGGAAAAATCAGTCAGATTCTTAAAAGAAGGATCTTATTCAAAAGAAAAGGTAAAAATCATCTCTGTAAAATCAGGATGGAAAATAACTTGACAGGGTAATCAGATTCATAGAGCCCAGAGGAACCCCATCTAGCCTTAGTTTCAAAGTTACAGCAAAACAGGGATACCTCCCTCTAGCAAAGGTAAAATTCACAAGTTAAGAAAACAAAGAAACTAACACGGCTTGCCTTACTGTTACTTACAAGTTCGAAATATGAGAGACTTGTTCAGAAAGTTTTGGAGAACATGGATTGATGTCCGGTTCCTGTTAGTCCCAAGAGCGAACACAAACAAAACAAAGAGCACAAACAAAAGCCTCCCCTCCCTGCACAAGATTTGAAAGTATCTTGTCCCCTTATTGGTCCTTTGGGTCAGGTGTCAGCCAGGTTACCTGAGCTTCTTAACGCTTTACAGGTAAAAGGATTTTGGTGCCCCTGGCCAGGAGGGATTTTATAGTATTGTATCCAGGAGGGCTGTTACCCTTCCCTTTATAGTTATGACAAGGGGACTTTGAAAATTCCAAAGGAATTTACGGGGTGGGGATGACGGTTGGTCACCTGAGGGCAGGGCAGTAGAGTTCAAACTGATGACCAGAGAGATGAGAACAGGCATTGTGGGACATATCCTGGAGGCCAATCACAGGGCTGTAATCGACCAGGGTGTCTACATTGGCGCCGCGGTGCTGTACCCCTGGCGCAGAAACCCGTATGCCTCTCGTTGGGGTGATTTTTTTACAGTGCTACAGTGGTGCAGTTTCTCCGCACTAATTGTCCTGGCAGTGTGTACACCTCAGGAGTTACAGTGGAGAAAGCTGCTTTACTTCCCAGAAACTTGCCAGTGTAGACAGGGCCTAAGAGGTTTCCAGCAGTCATCCTGGGCACAGATTCAGTGAAGAATGAAACCTGATTAACTCACTTCCCTGCCCTCAATAGGATTCACATATGGCGGGAATCCTTTGTTTCCTAGTTTGATCCCCACCCACTATTAGTGGGAAAATACTAATAGTCCAGTACCAGGTGACATGATCACATGACCCTGCAGTGTCAAAGCAGCATCCCAGGAATCTTCTAAGGAAGGTGGGAGATTATCATCTTCAAAGACCTATTGTTCTCCCTAATGGCCCATCCAGGCTGATTGCTTCTACATTCTACAGCCCTCTACACCAACATTCCACACAAAGGGCTGGTCTACACTGGGGGGGGATCGATCTAAGATACGCAACTTCAGCTACGCAAATAGCGTAGCTGAAGTCGAAGTATCTTGGATCGAATGACCTGGGGTCCACACAGCGCGGATCGACGGCCGCGGCTCCCCCGTTGACTGCGCTACTGCCGCTCGCTGTGGTGGAGTTCCGGAGTCGACGGTGAGCGCGTTCGGGGATTGATATATCACGTCTTAACGAGACACGATATATCAATCCCGGATAAATCAATTGCTACCCACCGATACGGCGGGTAGTGAAGACATACCCAAAGATGGACTACAAGACATCAGGAAAACTATCCCTGATAATGTCATGGCAAACATGGTGGCTGAACTTTGTGACTTTGTCCTCACCCACAACTATTTCACATTTGGGGACAATGTATACCTTCAAGTCAGCGGCACTGCTATGGGTACCTGCATTGCCCCACAGTATGCCAACATTTTTATGACTGACTTTAGGGTGACCAGACGTCCCGATTTTATCGCGACTGTCCCGATATTTGCTTATTTGTCCCGCGTCCCGACCTACCTTCGGTCGGGACATGAATTGTCCCGATATTTTGCCTCCGCTCACAGGTGGAGTGGGGCCCGGAGGGGGCTCGCAGCCCCCCTGACTCTGCCCCCTCCTTTCCCCATTGGATCCCTCCCCAAATCCCCGTCCTGGCCTCGCCTCTTCCCCAAGCACTCCACATTCCTCCTCCTCCCCCCTCCCTCCCAGGCTTGCATTGATCAGCTGTAGGGCGGTGCAAGCACTGGAGGGAGCGGGGAGGTGGAGACGGAGCGGAGGCAAGCTGGTGCGGGGCGGGGTGTGGAGCTCCGGTGGCCGGCGGCCGTTTTTTTTTCTTCTTCTTCTTCTTCCTTCTCCGCCACTGGCAATTTTTTTTTTGCTCCCCCCTCCCCCCCCGCATCCTGATATTTCACCTGTGTGATCTGGTCACCCTAACTGACTTAGAACAACGCTTCCTCAGCTCTTGTCCCCTAGCATCCCTACTCTACTTGCGCTACATTGAAGAATTCCACCTGGATTTCAACAATTTCCACCTCACCATCAACCTCAGCCTGGGCCAGTCCACACAAGAGATCCGCTTCCTGGATGCTACAGTGCAAATAAGCGATGGTCACATAAACATCACCCTATACTGGAAACCTACTGACCGCTGTACTTACCTATATGCCTCCAGCTTTCATCCAGACCACATCACACAATCCATTGTCTACAGCCAAGCTCTAAGATACAACCACATTTGCTCCAATCCCTCAGAGACAAATACCTACAGGATCTCTATGAAGCATTCTTAAAACTATAATACCAACCTGCTGAAGTGAAGAAACAGATTGACAGAGCCAGAAGGGTACCCAGAAATCACCTACTACAGGACAGGCCCAACAAAGAAAGTGATAGAATGCCACAAGCCATCATCTTCAGCCCCCAACTAACACCTCTCCAGTGCATCATCAAGGATCAACCACCTATCCTGAAGGACAATCCCTCACTCTCACAGACCTTGGGAGACAGACCAGTCCTTGCTTACAGACAGCCCCCCAACCTGAAGCAAATACTCACCAGCAACTACACATCATACAACAAAAACACTAATCCAGGAACCTATCCCTGCAACAAACTCTTTTGCCAACTCTGTCCACACATCTATTCACGGGATACCATCCTAGGACCTAACCACATCAGCCACACCATCAGGGGCTCGTTCACCTGCACATCTACCAATGTGATATATGCCATCATGTGTCAGCAATGCCCCTCTGCCATGTACACTGGCCAAATGGGACAGTCTTGACGCAAAAGAATAAATGGACAGCAATCAGATGTCAAGAATTATAACATTCAAAAACCAGTTGGAGAACGCTTCAACCTCCCTGGACATTCAATAACAGACTTAAAAGTGGCAACTTCAACAAAAAACCTTCAAAAACAGACTCCAACAAGAAACTGCAGAACTGGAATTAATTTGCAAACTGGACACCATCAAATTAGGCCTGAATAAAGAGTGGGAGTGGATGGGTCACTATAAGAACTAAAAACTAATTTCCCCATGCTAATTTCCCCCCTACTGTTACTCACACCTTCTTGTCAACTGTTTGAAACGGGCCATGCTGATTAACAGTACAAAAGTAATTTTTGCTCCTGCCGATAATAGCCCACTTTAATTGAATTGTCTCATTAGAATTGGTAAGGCAACTCCCATCTTTTCATGTACTACGTATATATATATCTTCCTACTGTATTGTCCACTCCATGCATCTGATGAAGTGGGTCTTAGCCCACGAAAGCTTATGTCCAAATAAATTTGTTAGTCTCTAAGGTGCCACAAGTACTTCTTGTTGTTATTCCAGTGAGAGTAACTCCCTGCCTCTTACTACGGTAGAACACCCATATGTGCTGATCCTGACAGTTTTCCTGGCTAATGCAAGGTGTTATGGGATACTTAGCATAGGTGAATAGTACTACAAGAAGACACAGGCCACCATTCCAGGCCATGTAACTGCTAGAAGTGAATATACAAATAATGTTATATGCATTAAGCACATACTATCCATATTAATATATGTAATGTGAATCATATCTATTGATCATGTGATATATTATATTACCCCGGCATATATTGCTGAACACTTCAGAAATAGATGTAACCCCCACCTAAACAATTCAGCTAGTCCTAATGACCCCGATCCAATGACCCCACCCCTCATTACAGTGCCAATAACCCCATCGAGAGCGCCCAAGCCTGTGTCAGCTTCATGATAGAGACACATTCTGTGTGGGACTCTCATGATGGGCACAAACGCGGCACATACAGCATTACATTCTGCCAGCCTGGGAACTTATCGGATGACACTTGAGTGCTCCCTGGTGGTAGAGAGAGGAACAGGACGAGGAGGAGAAATACTTGAGAGAAATA